ATCTCAAGTCACTCCTTTCAAAGCAATTTCCTTATGGTTTGTTAAAGTAACCTTTTCTGACCATGCTTAAAAACCAGTGGTACAAAAAAAAAAAAAAACAAAAAAAACCAAAAAAAAAAAACCGTGGTAGCCTAATCCACAGGATAAAATTCAAGCTCCTTAACCTGGCATACAAGATTATCCATGGGTTTGGCCCTACATAGCCAAGTTTACGGATCCCTTCTTCACACCTTCTTCCAGTAATACCAAACCTCTGGATAGTTCCATGAATATACCCAGTTGTTTAGTACCTCTGAGCTTTCATGTTGTTTGATCCTTTCTAGAGAATAGTTCCCCCTCCAACCACTTGGCAACTCTATTCATCTTTCTATTCATTTATCAAATATAATTGAAAAAATACTGTGTGCCAGGCTATATGTTAGACTCTGAGAATACTACAGTGAAAAAGATATTGTACTGCCCTGGGGTGCCTGAGTGGCTCAGTTGGTTAAGTGGCTGGCTCTTGATTTCAACTCAAGTCATGATCTCAGGGTCCTGGGATCAAGCCCTGAGTTGGGCTCTGTGCTCAGTGCAGAGTCTGCTTGGGATTCTCTCTCTCCCTCTGCCTCACCCCCCATTTGCAGTCTCTTTCTACCTCTTGCTCTAAAATAAATAAGTACATCTTAAAAAAAAAAAAAAAAAGATCTCGTACTGTCCTCACTGACGCAAGAAATTACAAACCTTGCCCTCTGTGAAGTCTTCTCCAGGCTGCAACCCCATAGTGGACCCTTGTCTTCCACCTTCCTTGTTCACAGTATATGTTGTCCTCATCACAGTGCCTGGTAATTATCAGCCTCTCTATGTTGAGAGCTCATTAGGACAGGGACATTGTTTTCCTCATCCTCTGTGATATCTGGCTTATTTTAAGTGCTTTATAAACATTTGGAGGGAAGAAAGGAATGAGGGAGGGGGAAAAAGACAGGATACACATTTAAACCATGGAAATTTCAGGTTTTAAAGTATCTGCCCGGGATCCCTGGGTGGCGCAGCGGTTTGGCGCCTGCCTTTGGCCCAGGGCGCGATCCTGGAGACCCAGGATCGAATCCCACGTTGGGCTCCCGGTGCATGGAGCCTGCTTCTCCCTCTGCCTGTGTCTCTGACTCTCTCTCTCGCTCTCTCTCTGTGACTATCATAAATAAATAAAAATTAAAAAAATAAAAAAAAAAAGTATCTGCCCTTGGTGAAATGGCCCACATTCTTGGCTGTCTCCCCCAGGCCCTCATTTCTGGTCTTTCCTGCTCTCTTTTTAATTTCTTCTCTCCTTCCCTTTCTTAATTCCACCTGGGATCACTCAACATCCTGCTCATGACTGGCCTTGTGTCTTATAGTCCATGGGAAATTTCAGGGGGGATTCAGGGCTTCAGAAATTAGGTGCCTCCATTCGGGACAACAGGTCCTCTATGTGTGAAAGAAGCACCTAGTGGGTGCCTTCTGGTATCATTACAAAACTGTGCCCTGGTTTGTCCAGGACCCGATCTGGTGGCTGGGACCATTTCAAATAGGTCTCAACATCAGAATCCTCATGCAGTGCCTTGAATCCACCACACCTCCCTAAATGTCTGATGCAGATGCTGAGGATGAGGCAAAAATACAAGATTGCTTCCAAGGAAGCTCAGTAACACTATATACAGTGCCAAATAGTCCAGCACACAGACTGCATCACCTAAAGGGGGAAAAAAATTTAGAAAGGAGCTATTTTCAGTTTAGCTTATTGGCAAATTCTCTATAACATTAAGAAATAAAATTTTTATTTTATACTTTAGCAATACTTTGGACTATAAGTTGGGGTGGGGTGCACAGTAAGAATTTCAGGGCTCAAGGACTTTAAAGCTATGGTTCCCAAAATGTGGTCTGGACTTGGAACATCAGCATTCCTTGGGAACTTATTAGAAATACAAATTGTTGGCCACGCACCAGACCTGCATTTTTACAAGTGCTCTAAGAGATTCTGATGCATGTTCAAGTGAGAGAACTACTGATCTAAAGGTTTTAAAATGACCTTCATGTATACAGGAAACTCATATACTGAACTTGAAATTCAGAAGGGTACCTTCAAATTCAGGATCTCCTGAAGCTACACAAATGCTAACTCATTCATTCTCTCTACTCTCCATTGACACAGGCAGGGAAAATATCATTCCCTCTGTTTTAAATAGAAAGAAGACTAAATCTGGGGTTGGGTTGGGGTCAAACCACTGCACACAACGTTTTCAGGGCAGCAAAGTTAAAATCTGCATGGTCTAAATAACCAGAAAGGACATTTCCACCTGCTGTTTTTCCTCTCTTGTTGAGGGTTGGGAGAAGCTCTTTAACATATTTGTGGAGAATACTTAACAGTTTTTTAAGACAGGTCTGGTTTTCCTTTATTTTTTTGTGTATATATATTTTTTGGAGTTCGATTTGCCAACATATAGTATAACACCCAGTGCTCATTCCATCAAGTGTGCCCCTCAGTGCCCGTCACCGAGTCACCCGATCCCCCTGCCCACCTCCCCTTCTACTACCCCTTGTTCGTTTCCCAGAGTTAGGAGTCTCTCATGAATACTTAACCTATTAACATGCTCAGGAGGCAACTGGACATTTCCAAAATGCATAGGTTGATGCTGAATGTGAGTAAAGCCTCAATTCGCAAAGGTTTCATTTCTACATGACCAGGCTTATACTCTGATACATTTTAGTTTAAATTGTCTCTTGAATCCTGTTAACATTCTGATATACATTAACACTACAGTGATTACTGTATCTGTGAAACTCCCCCAAAATGTAGTTAGGGCACAACAGGTACTAGCTACCTGAGCAGTTTCACACTTATAAAACTGCACGAGGAAATTTCTTCATAGAGTCTAGTAATGATGGAAGTCCAGGGTTCTGAAAGTAATAATATTCTCATCTGTGATGAGGGTCCCACTGTGAGTACTTTCCCAGACAGGTATTTCAAAAGCACGCTCCCCATCATCTCAAAGTCTTGTAGCCTGCCCCTTAGCCGCTCTCTTTTCCTGCACACATCTTAGGCATGTAGCTTTCATCTTGTCCGTTTCCTAAATTGCTCACCACACATCCATCTGCTTCCAAACTTCCCAAATGAGTGAACAGCTCTCAGCTGCCCCCATTTCCCCCATTCCCTTTGTCCTATAAGTTGATACCAGCTTTGTTTCCTTTCTGTCACTTGAGGGGAGCTCCAGGCAGAGATAAATGCAGTTTTTTATTCCGTGATTCTATTGCTTATTTTTATAAAAGCATACAGTCTAAAAGGGAATCTAGATATCATCTATTCAATTCAGTGTTAATTTCTTTTTTTTGCAGTGGGACCTATCTTTTTCAAGACACAACCTGATGTATAAGTCTAATTTCTAAAACAGAGAAGAGTGAAACTATTTTTGGTTGAAGCTGGTAAAGGAGCAGGGTGTGCATCTCATTTCTCTCAAACATACTGTAAAATATCTGCTAAGGGCCTCCTCTGCACCAGACACTGTGTCAGACTCTGGAGAAACACAGATGAGCAGTGCAGATGCAGACTCTGTTCCCCAGCTACTCAGAGCCTTGTCCTTTCCTGGAGGCCCCCAAGGAACCCAGTTTCAAACTTACTGATCTAATCCAAGGTCCAGAGAAGAAAAGTGACTTGGCCAAAGGAAAGCCCTCCTGGTCATTTTTTTTTAAAGATTTTATTTATTTATTCATGAAAGACAGAGAAAGAGAGAGAGAGAGAGAGGCAGAGACACAGGCAGAAGGAGAAGCAGGCTCCATGCAGGGAGCCCAATGTGGGACTCGATCCCTGGTCTCCAGGATCACACCCTGGGCTGAAGGCGGCGCTAAACCGCTGAGCCACCCGGGCTGCCCCCCTCCTGGTCTTCAAATCAATACCTGGGAGTTAAATGTACCCAGTGTTACTGATGTACACCTGAACAGATCACAGGGTGATGATCAGGAGGAAAAAAATCCAGGAGCTATGTTTGTTTATGACTGAGGCACCGCACACAGAGATGTGGAATAATGTACAAAATGCATAAAGCTCCTAATAAAATAGTGGTGAATGTTTGCGTACCTCAACACTTGATCTTCATTCCTGTCATTCCCTTTGAGGAGATTGCTTTTGGTCATGAAATTAAAAACTTTAAAAACCCACAAATTTCTTTTTTTTTTTTAAGATTTATTTATTCATTTATTCAGGAGAGACACAGAGAGAGAGGCAGAGACATAGGCAGAGGGAGAAGCAGGCTCCCCTTGGGGAGCCTGATTCAGAACTTGATCCTGGGACCCCGAGATCATGACCTGAACCAAAGGCAGATGCTCAACCACTGAGCCACCCAGGTGCACCCCCCCTTCCACAATCAAATTTCAAAGAAAAAAAATCTCAGATTGTTTCACCCAGGACCTGTAGGTACAGCCTCTGCTTTTCTACCCATGTCACGTGTGACAATTTATCATCGATTGCTAGAAATTTCCACAGTTGGGCTCTTCAGATTAAAGAGAAAGAAGGAAAAACTAAGACATAGGGTCTTATCCTTGAAGCACAGCAATTCCATGTATCGAGAATGACAATGCTAAAGAAATCTTAGCTTTGTTTTTCAGACCAAATCGCTTCCAGTGACTGCCCGACCTTCAGAGTGATGGTCTTTGCAGCTTGACTGAATACAATCTTTCTACAGGAAGAGTGAGGTAGGAGTTTCCTTTTCTGGGGAACCTGAAAAGCCTATTACTATGCACTGCCAGGACACTGTTTGGTCACAACGGACCACTGAATTTCAACTATTTCATCCTTGGAGAGTGATGGTCACTTACAGTAATAAACTTCGAGTTGCCTGGCCCTGGGCCAGACTTTCAACTTCTGTGGGTCTGTTTCCTCCTGTATAAAGTGAAGAGGTTGGACTGAAATATCTTTTAGATTCCTTCCAAGCTTTCTTCTCAGATATTCTGTTAGCATCAGCAGATACCACTACATTTTGGAATTTGAAACAACTTACCTAGAGAGGTGCAACCCAGGACATTTTCCAAACACCTGACCAGTGCTTCGATATCGCTGTCCTGTCAAAACAAGAGAGATTTACTTCTGTGTATGACAGAACAATATTTATTGACATAGAAAAATGTTCTTGCCACATTTAGGCAAAATAAAACAGAAAAAAAAAACTGGTTGCAAAGTTTTTTGACAGTACAACCCCATTAAAAAATTGTTTGCAGTTGAAGTATAATTAACATACAGTGTTACATTAGTCTCAAGTGTACACTATGGTGGCCCAACAGTTCCACACATGACTCAGTGCTCATCAAGATAAGTGTACTCTTAATCCCTTTCACCTATTTCACCCATCCTCCCATTCACCTCCCTTCTGGCAACTACCAGTGTATTCCTTGTATTTAAGAGTTTTTTTTTTAATCTCTTTTTTCATTTGTTCATTTGTTTTCTTTCTTAAATTATACATATGGGGATCCCTGGGTGGCGCAGTGGTTTGGCGCCTGCCTTTGGCCCAGGGCGCGATCCTGGAGACCCGGGATCGAATCCCACGTTGGGCTCCTGGTGCATGGAGCCTGCTTCTCCCTCTGCCTGTGTCTCTGCCTCTCTCTCTGTCTCTCTCTCTGTGACTATCATAAGTAAATAAAAAAAAATTAAAAAAAATTATACATATGAGTGAAATCATGTGGTATTTGTCTTTTTCTGACTTTGTCTTTTTCTCACTTAGCATGATATCCACCAGAGCCAACCATGTTGTTGCAAATGGCAAGATTTCATTCCTTTTGATGGCTGAGTAATATTCTATTATATATATTACCACATCTTTATCTATTCATCTATCGATGGATACTTGGGCTGCTTCAATATCTTGGCTATTGTAAGTAATGTTGCAATAAACATAAGGGTGCATGTATATCTTTTCAATGTTTTTGTTTTCTTTGGGTAAATACCCAGGAGTGGAATTACTGAATTTTATGGTAGTTCTATTTTTATTTTTTTGAGGAACCTCCATACTGTTTTCCACAGTGGTTGTACCAATTTGCATTCCCACCAGTGGCGCATGAGGACTCTTTCTTCTCCATATCCTCACCAATATTTGTTATTTCTTGTGTTTTTTATTTTATAGCTGTTCTGACAGGTATAAAGTAATATCTCATTGTGGTTTTGATTTGCATTTCTCTGGTGATTCATGATGTTGAGCACCTTTTTATGTTGGCCATTTGTATATCTGTTTTGAAAAACTGTCTATTCAGGTCCTCTGCCCATTTTTTAAAAATTGGATTATTATTTTTTTGGTGTTGAGTTGTATAATTTCTTTATATATTTTGGCTATTAATCCCTTATTGGATATGTCATTTGCAAAGATCTTCTCCCATTCGGCAGGTTGCTTTTTTGTTTTGTTGATAGTTTCTTTCACTGTGCAAAAACTTTTTATCTTAGTATTGTATGATCCAATTTTTTAAAAGAAAAATATCTCAATATGTTTGCCTATATCTCACTCTATCTCTGTCAATCTATAGATCTATTCCTCCATCTCTCTGATGGGAAGAACAGACACTGAAAATGTTGATGGTGGTATAAAGTAAGATTATGGATGATCTTTATTTTCTCCTTTGTGTGCTTACATCTTTTCTAAATTTTCTATAATAAACAAATATTATTTGATTTACAAAATAGCAAATGCTACTTAGAATGGGGAAAGGGTGTTATTCAATCTGTAATCCATTCAATACATCAAAAATCAAGTAAATATTCTTTTTGTAGGAAATATCTCTACCAGCTTTTCTTTGGAAATGTATGGTCTTCTAGGGGTCATAAATCTAAGAACTGCACTGCTAATTTACCTTAACCCTCAGTAAGAGTCAAGTACCCTCTTGAGAGCTGAGGGAATCCCAGAACTGTATTTGGCAACAAATATTGTCTTTACTACAAAAGAAATATCTGTCCTGAATCCAAGAGGCTGAAAATACCCACAATAGCATCATAATGACCTGGGAAAATGGAACCACTTAATTATTTTCAGGTTTGTGGCTATACTGAGGGAAATCAAAAGTTTGTGGCTCACCTGCTCCATTTCAAAACAAGCAACACATTTCATATTGAAGTAATTGTGGATTTTAGAAAAATGCATTGTGGTATAATAAACTATTCTAAAACATTACATAAATGTGTTGTTTCATAATATAACATCTGGTGGAGGTTTGAGCAGCCACTTTTTATGCATGTGGTGAAACCCATCATTTCATGTTCTGATGTATAAAAGAGGCAATGATGAAGAAGGTTATGGCTGGTTAATGCTGGTCAATGAGGCCAAAGCATTAACTGAAGACCCTGGTACCCAGCCCAGGTATAGGGAGGCAGGGAGATTTAGAAGAGGGAAAAACAAATCCTTTCCTTCTTCTGTACCTTTGTGGTCTCCAAACTTAGCAGGACAGCTTTGACAGAGAGGAACCCAGCAGAGACATCCTCTGTTGGAGGAAAAGCAAAGCACACATTGGCATACACAGGTGATGACACCAACTTGGCAAGCTTAGGTTGTAAGCCTTGCTCCTCTACTAAGTGTCCTGGCCTGGGCCAAGTGGTTTGACTTCCCAGGCCTTAGTTTCTGTATCTGTGAAACCAAGGGGTTGAATTGGATGATGGTTAAGGGACCTTCTAGCTCTAAAACCTGGTTCTTCCAGCAAAGAGTTAGATGGACATGATTGTGTGGATTGTTTTCCAATATAGCGACAGCAAACCTTCCCATTCCTTTGTTCCTAGACCATTCCTCATATCAAACTTAGACTCTCTCTTCCCATCTCTTAAGCTGGTCCTGACTTGCTCTGGGCCTCAAAATGTGGCAGAAGTGATGTTCTGTGACTTTTATTATTAGGCCTTAGGAGGCCATGCAGCTTCCATTATTACTCTCTTGGAAGCCAGCAACAATGTAAAGAATTCCAGGCTCTCCCAGTGGTGATATATTATGGTGAGATGCCCTGCAGCATGAGAGGCCTTGTGAAGGGAAACAGAGGCCCCCAACCAACAGCCAGCATCAACAGTCAGACATACATGTGAGGCCACCTGGGACCCCCAAGCTGAGCTCCCAGCAAAAGGCAGCCGCATGTATAAACATATATAAAGGCAGCCACATGTATAAACAATATACATGGAACAGAAGAACTGTCTAGTGAGCCCAGGCAACCTACCTAGAGTCATGAGAGACAATAAGTCATTGTTTTAAGCCATTAAGTTTTGGAGCATTTTGTTACACAGTAAAAGATAACTGAGACACTAAACTAAGATGGTTAAGTATTTTACAATTTTTAGGTCTCCAGCACCCAGCATGGACCCAGGAGCCTGATGAATGCTAAATGCTCACCTGTGCAGGTCTCTTCCAGCTTCTGTGATTTGCAAGGAAGTTAAACAGAACAATGGCATTGACTCTTTAGATCACAGTCTACCCCTAGTTGTACAGTAGGGTTCTCCCCACTCAAAGTACCTCCTTACTGGGAAAGTAGAGGAAAGAACATACTTCTTAATTCTGTGGCCTCGGTCAAATTGGTTAACCTTTCCCAACATCATTTTCCTTCACTGTAAAATGAGGAGAATAATGTCCTCTATCCCACACAGGGCTCTTATAAAAAGCAAATGAAATAATAAAAAGCCTTTTGTGGAGGGTATGACTTTGTTGGAAATACCCAATAGGTGGAAGAGATAGAACAGGGTGGAACAGGTTGGGATGGGAAAGGGACGGAGATATAAAAGATTAAAAAGTCCCAATCACTGTATCTGCCACAGAACATGGACATTTGCAATAAGTATTTGAGTTGAGTCAAGCAACGAAACAGCAAGGACCCAAGTCAGGGTGTAGAAGGTATCTGGATGGCTTAGACATACCAGTTATATCTTTCTAACATAGAGGATAGGGAACCCTATAGAAGTCTGTGGGAAATAATTCTAATCCAATTGAGTGAATGAATGAATGAATGGATGGATAAACAAATACTAACTTTTACTGAGATCTTAATATGTGCTGTTGTTCCACCACCTTACATGTATTAATTCATTTAAATGCAACTAAGTGGTGCTATTTTTCTCCCTATTTAACAGTTAAGAAAACTGAGGCACAGGTAGATTCCATAATGTGACTAGGTTCATGCAGCTAGTTAGAGGTAGAACACGTGGTATTCTCCAGAGCCTGAATTCTTCTTAGTCACTAGTGTACACATACATATAGTAGAAGGCAGGCCTCCAAACCCAAGCAGAGTTTCACAATATTACTGGAGGAACCAGGGTATAATCTCATGAAAGAGACTCAAAAACAATTCTTTGCTGAGATATATATATATAGTATAATGCAGCCTGGGGACAAGATGCAGCAGAGGAGTGAGTTCTTCATCAATGGCTTCCAACTCCAGGTCCTAAGAGAACTTTGAGTAAAACATCAGTTCTCTGTCTAAATATGGCTTCCAGGGGGAAATCCCTGGGTGGCTCAGCAGTTTGGTGCCTGCCTTTGGCCCAGGGCGCGGTCCTGGAGTCCTGGGATCGAGTCCCATGTCAGGCTCCCTGCATGGAGTCTGCTTCTCCCTCTGCCTGTGTCTCTGCCTCTCTCCCTCTCACTGTGTGTGCCTATCATAAATAAAGTAAAAATAAATTTAAAAAAAAATAAAAAATAAAATAAAATAAAATAAAATAAAAATAAATATGGCTTCCAAAAGAGGGTTGTGCATTCCCTTAGTGGAGTAAGCAACAGTCATGGGCCACGTGGGAACTTGAGACCTCTGCCAACTTCCCTTCTTGACCTGAAGACCGTGGCCTCAGAAGTCATGGACAATGACTAAGATCAGCTTACATCCCCAACAAAGGACAAGTCACTCTCTGTCTCTATGCTGTAGATGAGGGCATTAAGACCAAAACTCCAACTGTACCCACTGAACACTTTTTAAACATTTGAAATGTCAGACTCACAGGAAAGTTGCAAAAGCAGTTCAAAATTCCCATATATCCTTCACCTTGATGTCAACCTTGATGTTTACATGCCCATTCCCCCATCTATTTATACACACTGAGGTTTTCTGACTTAGTGCCACTG